TCTTTCCCTCTGTCACATTCTTGTCCCTTCTCCCTCACTGCAAACTTCTCAGGTACACACACACACACGTGCATGTGCTCAGATTAGCAGGTAAACCACTTCAAGGAAGTAGGCCTACTTGACATTTTTACCTTCTCAAATACCCAAAGAAAATTTGTCTGAATACCACCTCCGGACTTCATCACAGTCCATTGTGTTCAAGCCTATTTTTCACTTCCTTTTTCCTGTTGTTTTCTACCACTCATACAAGCAATAAAAATGTCACTATTTCTCTACTGTAACTGAAAACCATCACGGTCCCTCTATTCTCACTTTCTCCACTGATGAGAATCAGTCAGCAATTTACATATGCACAGAAAATCACAATCGCATTTGTGTGAATTTACAGTGCAGCCTGTCCATGCTGTAACTGCCCTTAGCTGTGAAAGTTATGAATTAGGTTTGTTTCATCAGCGTGCTCTGTTCTTGTTCTCTATCAGAATACACAAACAAAAACTACATGTGATTTTCTTTTTTCTCTTTGTGGACTGCATTTCTAACGGTTGTAGTAATGCACTTGTGCCAAAATGATCAGGTTTAGGTGTGGCCATTCATCTCTTTAGCTCTATTTTGGAGTTTATATATCTTTTCTATGGTTTCAGACACATCTTTCTGACATCTGGACAATTTTCAGCTTGTGTAGTACATGGTCTGTCAAAGGATCTGGGTCAAAACAAAGTGGTTCTGTGTTCGTTTTTGATTCTACTGTTGGCTCCACTGACCGCCTTACTTCTCTCTCTCTCTCGCTCTCTCTCTCTCGCTACCTCGCTCTCCTCCACTCCTTCATTTGTAGGTCTCCTCCATCGCCACCAGGGGCTTTCCACACCGCGCCGTTCCGGGAGCGGCTTGGCTGTCCCCTCTCCTTGTGCTTCTCGGAACGGAGACTCCAGACGCGCAGCGCTGTGGCCGACAGGGCGCACGGGGCGTCTGTCCCTCAGATCTTTATCACATCGTGGATCGTATACCTTTCCATTCCGAGAGAAGCGGCAAGTTTAATGCCCATCACCGCAACGCTCTGCAACTTGTAACGGCAAAGGCACTTGTTTCCTACACAAGACAAGAAAGGTAGGACTTTCGGGATGTTTTAATTCATGGGGAAAGTTCGCTGTGCAGTGGTTTGCTCTCGTAACATACGACTCCACTGGACTTGCATGAACGCTTTCACCTTGCGCCGTGGGAGTTTTGTATGTATTGCAACTGAGGGAAATTGCATAAATGCTTACATAGTGATTTTTGTGTGCGTGCATATCTATAAGGGGGCAGAACGCTGTCCTTTATTGAAGTGTATTATTGAAGCTTTTTCATCTTTTCTTCAGGGCTGAACATCGCCACCTAACTTGTTGCCAGTTATGACACAATTAACGGCGGGTTAGTGTAGTCGGTAATTAAAGCTGGCAGCAGCTCAGTCGTGATTCCGATCATACAAAATGGTTTTGATAGTAAACTGAAGAACTGCAACGAATTTACAGTGAAGCAGGAAATGGTATCCGATAGATTCCACATGCAGTGACATGACTGCGCGCTGATTATTGTGTCATAAATTTAGTGTAGCAACATTTCAGTAAAATAACCCCAGTGCCATTGGGCAGCAGTACTAATGGGAGTGGGCTACGTATTTCGTGTGGTATGATTGTGGAAATTCAAATTCTCCAGTGTTGAGAACTAGCAGCTACGCTCCCCTAATCAAGAGTAACCTACAAATACTGTACCTATGTGTAAATATGCACGGCAGCCTAACTGTAGCAACACCACCAAATTACATATATATAGGGTGTAAAATGGGTGCACCTACCTCCTGCCCAGAGGGATGCTTTTCCCGAGGACTGCAGCCACTTGATGCGCCAACAGGATGCATTTGGGGAAGTTGGATGTGTGCCATTGTGCACTAACGACATGCTGTTGAATGGCTGAATGCAGATTTACAAGCATGGTCATCAAAACAGTTTAAGCAGGACACAAAATATTGGATTCGCACATATGCAGCTTTGTAATGAAAGTGTATCCCTCCCAGATACAGTTGTAAATTCGAAGTGTCTTTTCAGAAAATAAGGGGTAAAAATCCTTTCACTGGTTTGATTTCATTTATCACTTACTTTAGAAGCAGTCACTTATTTAATGTTCTAATCATCTTTTATCTTCACTTGGATCTACTGGATTTTCACAGATCAAATTAGCTTCAGCAACAATTTCTGTCCTGTTTAACACATTTTGCTGGACAAGAGCCAAGTTTTGTGCAGCATGCATTTCTCAGCAGTTGTTTTTTTTTTCCTTTGAAATCTGCTCGGCTCCTTCTCAACAGCCTTTCCTTGGACTTCCCTGTATTTTCCTTTAATTGATTTACTGTATTTAACATTATTTGTATAATTTACATTTAGATTTACTTAAATATCATTTGATATATGTTAAGCTCATGAAAAAGTCGCAAATGAGACATATAAATGGTTGGTCATGCTCTCACTGTAGAAAAAGCTTCATTGTGATGTGATTTAGCTTCCTGCGATCTCAAGGACACCCCACGGCCATAAATATATCACAGCTACAAGACTGATCAAATCCCTACTTAATATTTGTTTTGTTGGAAGGCAGAACTTTCATCTCAGTGGTATCTGGATGACATATGACCTATTCCCAACAGGGGGACGTCTGTGTGTGGGTGCCTATTGTGGAATATGATTTGTGATCACGGGGTCACAGTACGCTTTAAGCTTCAGTATTACTGAGTGACCTTGGCCGAGGTTTAACGTGTGTACTCCTTAGTGTGCATTCTTGACCATGTGTATTGGCATTTACATGTACGTGTGTGTGTGTGTTAGTGTGTGTACATGGAGAGCTAGGTATGTTTGTATGACCACTGACATGCCTCCGCTTATCATTTATTCTGAGTTAAGTGGTGTTTGTGAAACAGATAAATGCTTCCTGTCCCAACAGCCATTTAGGGACTTTAATTTTCCAATTAGATGCTGATCAGTTCAGGAACTGGTCAAGGAGGCATGACCTCTGTGTGAGGACCATGACCTTTATTGACTCTGTATTTGCAAAATCAATATATGATAAAAATGTGTTAGTGGTGAGATTAGCAAAACTTTAATCGGAATCAATGGTTTAAAGTTCTCTATGATGTCAGGTCTCCTCTAGAATGTACAGTTCTTATTGTTCTTATTTTGATGTTTATCAACAATGTAATCAGTATCATAAGAAGGCAACACAGGATTGTTTTCTAAAGTATAAGCACCTGAAGAGATGGTGTATAAGTCCTTCCTAAGCAGTTAAGAAATTATTCAGTTGTTATTTTAACAGTAGTTAGGATGTTTTCTTCAATTCTTTCATGCCGCAATAGATTTTCCATATTTGGACAAACGTCTGTAATATTGTAGAAACACTTCAGAGTGTGGTGGTTGTTGTTATTATAGCTATTAGTGTTGTAATGTCAAATTACTTTTTGATGTACTAAACTTCCTACCAATGTGCACCGTGGATTTTGTTACAAGGCTCTTTGAACATCATTTAAGATCAGCTGATTGACAAACATGCAAGGACACACATAAATGTGCACAGATAAACTACATGCTAATAGCTGGTAGGGGATAAGGAATGTAAAACCTTTTCAATGCAACAAAGAAAAGAAAATGAATACATTTGTCACCTAACTGTCAATTACAGACAAATATCTGCTTTGTATCCTAGACTCCTTTGTTTTTTCAGCTGGTGGTCTAACCAGCGTGCACATTACAAGGGCCATGTAGCAGTAACCCAGATGGCAGAATGGGCTGATTGTGATTTATGTACCAAAACTGAATGCATTACTGTGAGCTTCTGGAGTCAGTGCCAAGTCGAGGCAGGCATTTTCACACATTTTTCAAGACACACACACACCCACACAGTCTTTGTAAGGACACCCATAAACATAACACCTTATTATTTACCATCACAACTAAATGCCCAGCCCAAGCACTTACTGTAACTCTGACCTAAACCTAATTCTAACCATAATCCTAAAACCAAGTCTGAATCCTGAAGCAGCTCTGTGGGGGGGTGTGTGAAAGAAAGGGCCACCCACTGTGATTCAGTGGGTTGTCTCCCAACCGGAGGGTCGGAGGTTCGAATCTTGGAGGCTGCGGTCCATGTGTTGAAGTGCCTCTGTCTCTGCATGCTAAGCTATCTTCATAACTACATTTGTCAGGAAAATTAAACACGATCCTACCATTTTGAGACATCAGGTTAAAGTCTCAAAGTGCAATAGCAAGTTCCTCCCTTCCCATTCAGACTCTAGTTATATAATGTCTTGCATTACCAGATGTGGCCAAGGTTAAGACAGTGCATGTGAACACTTGCATTATTCATTAGGTCCTATTCTAGTTGGCTGGCAGTGAACTTAAGTCATCACCTCTATCCAATCAGAGCAGGTGATCATTAATAATGTACATTTTATGTTAATAACTTACAAAAAAACCCACTAGAGGACAGATGGGAATCGAAGCTGTATGTAAAGATGAATTTAGAAAAATCAAAAATTTGGGTGATTAAAATGTCAAAAAAGGCCATAATACCAGCTGTTTAATATTGTGCGCATAAAATAAAAATTCCATTCCATCTCAAACAATCCATTCCACTTTCCATTTTCTTACAGCTTTTTCCCTCTGTCTTTCTCTCTCTTTTCACACACACAGACACACACACACTCACTCACGCACAGCCCTCCTGAAAAATCGTTTAGATGAAGCAGTCCACTGTTGTGAGACATTGATTACCGTTTACCAAGCTGGAGCATAAATGTAATGTTAAAGGGGAGATGGCTTGGATAGACAGATGGAGGGGGGGCAGTGGGAAAGGAAAAGAGGAAAGGAGAGCGAGAAGGAGGCTGATAGATGGCACTGGTTTGGCAGTAAAGATGGCAGATACAGAGGTAAAACAGGGCATCTTTATGGCTAACAGAGAGGGGACTGATTAGCCCAACTAATTGATCTGGACCTGTGGTAATGTGCCTGGTCCATTTTCAGTAAGCTAAGTAAACACACTCACATTCCCCCACACACATTTTCACAGTCACGCTCCTCACTGCCGACACCCACTGTCTTGTTGCCAGTCAGGGATGGTCATCCCTTAGTCACTTCATTACCCCCTCCAGGCAGGGACTGCATCAACCATATTAACTCTTGAGCCCTGTGATAGAATCACTACGTAGGAGGAGACAGAGGGCTGAGAGTTTTGGATGAGCGCCATGGTTGATTTTCCACCTGTATTTGCACTTGATTTCAAGGAGAGGGTTGCAGGCAAGGCTTTGATCCAACAATACTGTGGCTTTGGGAACTCAGCTAATTTTTGATGCTCTATCTTGTGATGAAACAGGTTAATAATACAATTTTTTGTCATTGTCACAACTGTGTTGGAGATTAAATTGCAGTGAGGCTGTAGTCACATATCCTGGGGTCTATCTTATTCATAGCATCATCATCATGTTTTATCAGCAAACATTCAAATAAAGGGAATAGTTTGACGTTGTCAGAAATAAGCCTGTCTTGCTTAAAGAAGATTGACACCATTCCCACGACTTTACAGGAATCTCGCTGGATGTCTGTTTAATGTTGACACTATTAAATGTCCACCATATTTTTGTGTGTTGGTTTGCTCTATCAGATGGCTGCTTTGATGATCTCATATTTACATCTAAAAGCAGCAGAAAGGTTTTCTCTGGGAGGACAGTGCACTGGTTAACAAAATAGCAAAGAACTGGGCAACAAGAGTAAAAAATGGACACAACAAGATTCAGACAGCTGTCGTGTTCATCTGTCCTTCTGATGCAGTAAAATGTGTTGATGTGGGTTAAAGCCAAAAGAGCCCTATTTAATGGAGAGTTCAAACTAAATCTGAATACACACTTTCAAATGTACAGTAAGTGAAATCATCAAAGGACCTTTGGGTGCTGAATGGAAGACACTCTTAGACTAATGCAGTTGCTGAAATTTGGAAATAATTTTTGTAGCTGTAATCACTGCAGTGAAATGAAAACATGAGGTCCATTTACAGTAGATTAAAAAATAACAGCAGTCTGTATATCTTGACGTTCA